CAAAATTGATTGCTTTTAGATTGCAACTTTTTAACAATTCCACACAGCGGGAGGGGGACACCCCTCCAACACCCCCCCCCCCGGGCGCTTCATGCCCTTGAGCTCGCATGATTCGCCCCCACCCCCTAGAATTCATTTCTGGATCCGCCACTGGTTGTGTGTGTGTGTGGAGGAGGGTTGCGTGTTATTAAACCTCTGGGATCCAAAGAAAAAATTACCCTAGAATTCACAAAATTGCACTTACAATATCAATTTTTTCAATTCCCTCAAAAACGGCCATCTTGAAGGTTATAAATTGCTAAAATTTAGAAGCTTCCCTGGGCGCCCTAATCAAGGGGCCCTGAGGCGGGCCCCTGGACCCCAACCATTAAGGGCTTTGCGCCAAGGCGCTCGCGGTGTCCGCTGCTCGCGCACTCTTCATATATACATTGCGATGGAAGTAACAGCGAAATCATCCCCCCCACAACTCAGGACCTGTCTACGCCACTGCGCTACAGCAATAACGCACAGGCGTGCATTCGACTGTCTACATTGGCAAGTTAAATATTAATAGCAGATAATGCACCGCCGCTTATGCAAATTAATTTAATACCAATATCTGAGTGGGGCAAAATCACACACCCCGGTGACATTTTGTGTCAGGTAAAACCAGTGAGTCAGTGTAATTACATATTAAAAGCTTTACTGCCAATATGCCCAGCCTTATACAGTCTCAATACCCTAACCGGAAAATATTGACCGATCATAAGATAACATAAGATAACTCATAACTCATATACACGCATTCATATAGGATACTCTTAGTCAAAACTATAAACTTCCCCTTGCGCAGCCGTGCTCGTACGAATGTAATAACGTTGGGTGTTACTATGACTGGAATAAAACTGACTATAAACTAGCTATATTTCTGCTAGATTTATATCGAGGAAGTAGAACAACCGAATTCGAAGCTCATAAGCTTATGCATTATATCATTCCGTGTCCATATGTCTACACGTACCAACTCTATAAGCGTCTTCGCACAATAAAGTTATATCACAATTAATGCAGATAAATGCCAAGTGTACTTGAAATATTTCGCAAGTTAGATTTTCATATAATTATTGTCACTACTGTCTATATAGACAGACATCGCACGTGACCATATGAATGATATCAGCAAGAGTACATAATAGAGATCATACGTACATAATAGAGATCATACGTACATAATAGAGATCATACGTACATAATAGAGATCATACGTACATAATAGAGATCATACGTACATAATAAAGATCATACGTACAGTAATAAGAGATCATGCGTACATAATAGAATCATACGTGACATAATAGAGCATCATACGTACATAATAGAGATCATACGTACATATAGAGATCATACGTAATATAGGGAGATCATGACGGTACTGAATAGGATCATACGTTAGTTAAATAAGAGATCATACGTACATAATAGAGATCATACGATATAATAGAGATCAGACGTACATATAGAGCATCATACGTACATAAATAGAGATCAGTACGTACATAATAGAGATCATACGTACATAATAGAGATCATTACGCTTACATTAATTAAGAGATCAATACGTACATAACAGAGACATACGTACATTAATAGAGAGCATAGCGTACCAATAGAGATTCATACGACAGAATAGAGATCATACGTACATTAATAGAGATCATACGTACATATAGAGATCATACGTAATAATAGAGATCATACCGTACATATATAGAGGATCATACGTACCATAATAGAGATCCATACGTACATAATAGAGATCATACGTACCATAATAGCAGACTCATTACGTACATAATAGAGAGCATACGTACATTAATAGAGATCATACGTACATATAGAGATCATACGTAGCATTAATAGAGATCATACGCTACATAATAGAGATCATACGGTACATTACATAGAGACTCATACGTGTACATAATGAGAGATCATACGCTACATAAATAGAGATCATACGTACATAATAAAGATCATAAGTACATGATAAAGATCATACGTACATAACAGAGATCATACGTACATAATAGAGATCATACGTACATAATAGAGATCATACGTACATAATAGAGATCATACGTACATAAATAGGATCATACGTACATATGGGAGAGTATCATACGTACATAATAGAGATCATACGTACACAGATAGGAGATCCATACGTACATAATAGACGGATCATACGTACATTAATAGAGAGCATACGTACCATAATAGAGATCATACGTTACCATAATAGAGATCATATACATAATTAGAGTTCATACGTACATAATTAGAGATCATACGTACATAATTAGAGATCATTACGTTCATAATAGGAGATCATACGGTAGCATGAATAGGAAGCATATAGGTACATAATATAGAGATCATTACCGTACGATTGAGTATGGGAGATTCATTCACCACGGTACATAAGATTTCAGAGATCATACGTACAATTAATACAGCATCAGGATAACGTACATAAGTAGAGATCTACGCTACATAATAGAGGATCATACTACATAATTAGAGCTATCATACGCTACATAATAAAAGTAGCTTAGCGACGGCACGTCCCACACGTTAACCATTTTCGGTTGCTCGACATGCAATTGTTCGTGGGTCGCCACAAAAATGGCCAACGTGTGCGGGGGGCCGGCCAACAGACCACTCAAACCACGGAAATTTAGTGGTGACAGCGAGTTGCGAGAATCCACAAACCGGTTTGATTTCTTCCACCACGAAATTTCGTCGTTTTTCTTGTGTTTCTTCGAACTGTGTGCGTGAAGGGCTGCTGTGACGCGAGGCAACGGCACAAATAATTGCCGCCAGGATACACTTGCCTCGTAACGAGCCAAACGAAAATGGCGTGTAAGTGTGCTGCTGAGCTTTTAGGTGTAGAGTGTTGCTCCTTTAATTTTGTATATCATATAATGATTTAATGATTAATAGTCATTATTAATGATTGGATACTCCTAACCTAACCCATAACCCTAAACTGAAGGACATTAAACCACAAAACTAATATACTATAGTACATAATATATATATGATATATATATATATATATAGCCCTAGTACCTATAATATATATATTATGTTATTATTGACCATTAATTGAGCATGGAAAGTTTCGGGGAAGACACTTCCTATATGAAGTATCACCCGGTCACTAGGACGTACATCCTGCGATAACGATATGTAGATGATCGCACGGACGTCACACGAGCCCGGGCTCAATGTACTTAATACGTCAGTATAGTGTATAATATAGGCACATCAGACTACAATCAGCTCATTTTTTGCTGCATGGCAACGGTCACATGATACCACAGCTCTAATGCGGCATATCAGGAGCTTATAAATGAACCATTTATAAGCTCCTGGGCATATGTACGTATGTGTGTTTTATTTAGACGGCTACAGTGCGAATTAAACGTTTCGCCGTAAAAATATCTCTAACCCTTACCACAAACCTCAAATATATCTCAAACCTTGCCACACTTGATTCACTGCTGAACACAAGAAAACTGGAACCAGGGAAGTACGAAAACTAGAGACGCAAGTGACGTTTAGCTCTAGACTGCAAGGTAACCGCACACAAGTCGTTTGGTTAGATTACAAGCAACGCAAGGTAAGTGTCGTGTCAGAATACACGTTTTCCTGAGAAAAACTACACGAGCTGTTAGGAATAACCAAATTTAAACAATTCCAGTCCATGTAAAGATAAAATACATCGAAAACGATGATATTACGATCAGTATATTATATACCTTAACTCTTACGTAATAGTCAGATCCCTTAGCATCATAATCGTTACAGAGCTGACAAAAGCATCAAACTTGGCACAGTTGTAGCTTATGGCAGTACTATAAATATTAGAGGGGTGCCCAATGTAGATATTCCTTAGAAGTGAATTATTGATGATTAAATGTTCGAACCGCGCCCGCCTATACTGACGCATTGTGTACAGCTGGTATCCCCTTTCCCATCGCGCATACGCTATTGCGCTATGTATTAACTCTCATATCTCGCGAGCGAATTAAGTTACATTTCTAGAAATCTATATACATATAGACAAATGTCTTTGCTATATTCTCGGTGAATATTGAGTCTATTGACGCACGATTAGTCAATATATTAGCAAATATATATGCGCGCGGTATCGCTCATATACGCACGGCTATAGACGACAGGCAAGTGTATTAACTCTCCTATTTCGCGAACGAATTGATTTACATTTCTAGAAACCTATAGATACATGTCTTAGCTATAATCTCTGTGAATATTGGGTTTATTGACGCACGATTAGTCAATATATTAGCAAATATATGTGCGCGGTATCGCTCATATAGGCCAATATGCGCACGGCTATAGACGGCAGGCAAGTGTATTAACTCTCATATCACGCGAACGAATTGAGTTACATTTCCAGAAACCTATAGATACTGTAACAGTGCGGCGCGTAGAGTTTGTGATTAGTAAAGTATTGTATAAGAATCATACGTGATTTTTGTGTGCGTAGCCGTCAGGCTAGCAAGGCACGCCGTAAATGTGTGAATAACATGTATAAACGTCCACAGCTACAGATAAACGCGCCACACCGGATCTTGCTCACGCTTAGCGTGAGCAACAATAAACCTTTGTGCGTGAAACTCATCTCGGACTTACTGTTATCTTAATCGTCACTCGTCTTACGTCGCAATAATAACAAAGAGAAGCTGACATCTCCTTCAAGTTCACCGCAAACCCGAAACGAAACAACGGGTTAGAACAATACACAACGCAAAACTTAATATCGGACAACAATACGATCACGAAATATCTACACGAACTAAAACTTAATTCGATCAGGTTTCAATACATGTCTTAGCTATAATCTCTGTGAATATTGAGTTTATTGACGCACGATTAGTCAATATATTAGCAAATATATGCGCACGGTATCGCTCATATAGGCTAATATACGCACGGCTATAGACGGCAGGCAAGTGTATTAACTCTCATGTTACGCGAACGAATTGAGTTACATTTCTAGAAATCTAGATACCTATAGACACATGGGTTAGCTATAATTTTTGTCATTATTGAGTTTATTGACGCACGATTAATCAATATATTAGCAAATATATGCGCGCGGAAGTGAATTACAGATGATTAAAGTTGAACCACCCGACCTACCGAACCCCCCGTCCCACGCGCCCGCTGTATGTGTACTGCGCGCATTATACCATATAACAATAGAAAGTAATATATTACAGTAGACATAGATAGAACACTTGGTCTATCTAATGCTACCTGCAACTGTACAGTGGTACATGAGGCTATTGTAAATAGCAGGCGGGCGCGTAAGGGGGGTTGCGGAGTCGAGTGTTCGAACATTAAATCATACTGTAAATTCCTCTACATGAATATCTCATGGCACNCGCCCGCCTATACTGACGCATTGTGTACAGCTGGTAATCCCCCCACCGCGCGCGTACACTATTACGCTATGTATTAACTCTCACATCTCGCGAGCGAATTGAGTTAAATATCTAGAAATCTAGATACCTATAGACACATGCCTTAGCTATTACCTCTGTGAATATTTATTTGAACGATTAGTCAATATATTAGCAAATATATGCGCGCGGTATCGCTCATATATAGGCTAATATGCGCACGGCTATAGACGGCAGGCAAGTGTATTAACTCTTATATCTCGCGAACGAATTGAGTTACATTTCAAGAAACCTATAGATACATGTCTTAGCTATAATCTCTGTGAATATTGGGTTTATTGACGCACGATTAGTCAATATATTATCAAATATATGCGCGCGGTATCGCTCATATACGCACGGCTATAGACGTCAGGCAAGTATATTAACTCTCATATCTCGCGAAGGAATTGAGATACATTTCTAGAAACCTATGGACACATGTCTTAGCTATAATCTCTGGGAATATTGGGGTTATTGACCCACGATTAGTCAATATATTAGCAAATATATGCGCGCGGTATCGCTCATATAGGCTAATATACGCACGGCTATAGACGGCAGGCAAGTGTATTAACTCTGATATCTCGCGAACGAATTTAGTTACATTTCTAGAAAAGTAAATACCTATAGACACATGTCTTAGCTATAATTTTTGTCAATATTGAGTTTATTGACGCACGATTAGTCAATATATTAGCAAATATATGCGCGCGAAAGTGAATTACAGATGATTAAATGTTCGAACCACCCGACTCCGAACCCCCCTACCGCGCCCACCTGTACTGTGTGTACTGGTGCATTGTAGGGGCACATTAAATCATCTGTAATTCCCTTCTAAGGAATATCTGCATTGGTCACCCCCTCTAATAATTATAGTACTGCCATAAGCTACAACTGTGCCAAGTTTGAGACTTTTGTCACTCCTGTAACGATTCGGCCCATATTTTGCACTAAGGGACCTGACTATAAGAGGCATAGACAACGGCGTAATCACATGATCATTGCACATAATAACAAACTTATATGCCCTAATTAAGTTCAAACATGTATTATTTTGAGCAATACACGTATAAAATATTATATATTATACGTTGAACATCTAGTATGGCACCATTACGAGTGGCTGTGATTGGAGCCGGGCCGTCAGGGTTGATTGCTGCCCGCATGCTTGCCTCACGACCGCAAGATTTCGACTTCGAGGTTTACGAACGTGGAGATAACATCGGTGAGTATGAATAAAATTAAGGCAATGTTTAGCCTAGTTGCGTTTACTACAGAATAAGCATGATGTGGCGGCATACTTCTAACTGCGCTACGTAACGTAGAGCGTGACGTATGCAAACGAAATGCATATATGCCATAATTATGGTATACGTATGCCATATCAGCAGATATCGAATCGGAGATATGTGGGTGGGTATCCTATTCCTTGCCCATCATTTATAAAGAAGATAGAAAGTTCATTTGACATTTTCCCCCCATCCTCCACGCGGCACATCGGGATGCTTACACGCAGGTTGATCATTAGTACAGTCGTTTTAATTGCGCCTGCCTTAATTAGGAGGTACGTGGGTGTACACGGAGAGGACAGGGCTGACTGAAGATGGCTTCCCAGTACACTCAAGTATGTACAAGAACCTTATCACCAACCTACCTACGAATTTGATGGAATTCCCTGACTTTCCCTTCCCTTCGGATTCGAAGAAATTTATACATTGGAAAGAGGTGTGTATTGTTGGGTTCTAGTTAAAAATACTAGCGGACTTGACAACAATAACAGTGTAATTTATATAGAACCTGATGCAATGTAAGCGTTCAGATTTATATTAAAACCTCGATTTCGTGATACTTTGCGTAGGTACAAGACTACCTGCATGCCTACGCCGACCACTTCAACCTTCGAAAAGACATCCAACTAAATACAGATGTAACGTCTGTAAAACGCATCACCACAAAGCCTGTCCCACCAGGAGATGCCCACCAATCTCCCAACAGACCGCAGTGGTTGGTGCGCACGAATGCCCTTCAGGGAGGAGGCAGCAAGGAGAAGGTGTTTGATGCTGTACTAGTCTGCTGTGGACACTTTAATGTCCCCCTCTATCCAGACATTCCTGGTCAGGAGAGCTTCCGCGGGGTACAGCTGCACAGCCACGATTACCGCCATCCAGAACCTTATGCCGGTGCGCTGCCTAAATTAGTATAGCTCATATAGGGTCTATGTCTCCCTGGGTACTGCCGGAACGTACCCTGGGTACGGTCCGGTATACCGGAACGTACCCTGGTAACTATTTGATATGGTTAGGGTTAGGGTTAAGGAGTAGGCGTAGGCGACTCCCTAGACTCGTTAGTGGAGTAGGCGAGGTACGGTCCGGCATATTAAAAGTTACCAGGGTACGTTCCGGCAGTACCCAGGGAGACATAGACCCGACGACCATTAGTATAGATACCGGTTATTTTGTTATACGTACTGGATACACCTAATATATAGTTAAGCATACAAAATTATACGGCAATATTAAGCTTAAACAAAACCTACTTCGTATCTTGCTGTAGTTACATTATATCAGAATGTCACGCTGCACCGTCTACCGTCGAAGTTTTATAAGACATCTATTTCTTACAGGCAAGCGAGTACTCCTGATGGGAGCATTTGCGTCTGCATTTGATATCATGAAAGATCTCTACCCTCACACTTCCGAGGTGATCATATCACTCAGCGAACTAGACGTTATAGGCCTTGGTGAACAGTACAAGAAAGGGCTGCTACCACACAACGTGAGAACAACGCCATTCCCGCAGGCGATCAACGGTAGCGCGGTGACGTTCACCGACGGTGAGACGCTCGAACCAGACGTGATTATTTTCTGCACCGGCTACAAGTATTCGTTCCCATTCCTCGACGCCTCGTGCGATGTCACTGTTAGCGAGGGTAAACGCATACAACCGTTATTCATGCACATGATCCACAGCAGGTACTACACGCTCATGTTTATCGCCATGCCGTATACAGGCCTCGATTTCTTAATCGCGTACCTCCAGGTTCCGATTGCGCTTATGATCCTTGATGGGTCACTGGCGCTCCCTAGCGAGCAAGATATGAACCAGGACACAGAAGCTGACTACCGCGATCGGTTAGCTAGCGGACAGAAACTCCGCCACGTCCACAAGTACCTATACCCTCCCCGTTGGTCGTATACGGTGTACTACGATGAGATTGCCACTTTTGCAAAGATCGATAACGTCATGCAGCCAAAGTACCGCTCATTTGAAGCTGTCTTCGCTGCAATATGCAAAAATGTGATGACATATAGGGACTAACGCGACTCTGACTCCCATCTAGAGTGTCACCACAGTCCGTGAGGCATAACCTCCAGAGTGTGCGCAACTCTAGCTGCACGTGAAACATTAGATTAGGGAATGTCTGCATATAGATAGTAGATCGATATCCAGAGATCGAGCTAGGCTTCTCTGGGCCAGGCACTCATCACTGAGTGTGACTAGCATACGACAATAGGTTGTTGAGAGCTATTGTAGTTGCCCAGCCGGAGATGTGTTCCGCTTCCTCGAGGTGACTTAACAATGATATTGCCTGACTCAATGTTTTGCCACAGAGACCCAGGATACATCTACGTTCATTGACATTACAAGTCACTTAAAGTGTATTCGATACGATAGCCTATAATTTAGAGCAGTTGTACTAATATACACACATGTAAAATTGTTTGGAATCAATATAAATATAACAGGTAGTTGATATCAGCCATAAATTAAATCATAGCAGCATTGAATGGCATGAAAATTTTCACATCGCGAGATTGATACTGAGTATTAATAATATATTCTATTATTAAAAAACTCAAATGAAGCTTTCTCACACTGTAATCTTATCTACAACTCCGTGGATATTTTTTTTATATAAATCGCACGCTTCTGGTATGGATGTTTTGTTATTTGCGGGCTTGTTATAGCACTTTCCTATCTTTATAGAACCAAAATACACTTTAACTAGTACTATCAGAAATCGATTGTTATTCTCCTCTATCCTTCGCATGTATCACAATACAATAATTATACAAGAGTGCTTGACGAATACTATATTTTCCTGCTGTAGTTCCTCCCTTTTTATGTAGCAGTAGATATGGATGCTAATGAAGTAACCCTGATCTCATACGTAACAATGCGCACGTCTTCAGCTTATACTGTCGCTAGCCAATCACAGCCGGTTAACGAGAGAATGATAGATTTAGAATAATTATGTCGGTTTTGGGTCTTTTTGTGAATCGTACAGGGACCGCGTGAAGTCGTAAGCACTTCAGCAAACATCACCGTCTTGCTATGCGCATGCGGATCTAATGCTTAGCCCTTCATTTAGTTGTTTGTAAATGTTGTTATCGGATATTGACAATAACTTGAATTGTACCTTACCAATAAGACATTATAATTATATACAAACGTTTAATTACAAATTAATAAAGAATTAATACAAATTCAGTTTTTGTAGAATTTTCTTGACAGTAAGATCTGTTATATGTTCTTGTCAGCAGTAACTTAATGACTTTAATGCCCCAATATTGCACTTATAAAGAAATGTCTGTAAAACGTCTGACACGTCGCCCAGCTATTCATGCTTAAAAAAGCGTCATTAAATATATACACTGACATACATCGTGTGGTAGCACTGACCACACCATATACATGGTAACATGCCTGGTCAATGTTCTTACTGAGTGGACCATGGACGTTTGCTGAGCAAGCGGTAAAGGTCAACTTTACGAGTAGATAACATTTAGGATGCTGTAACTATTTTTAGACGGCTATACATTCTCTGGCATAGCGTCTAAGTCATATGTATTGCTGCTGAAGTAATTCGAACGTTGACACACTTGTTTCCTTTGTAAATAACTTGCTTATAAATAGAAGGTAGCGCCACATAGGGAAAAGCGAAATCAGTAGACACAAGTGGTATACCTGTGCTGTAACGTGTACACATATAGAAGTCGTTCTCTGCAAGAATACAGCAACACAAGGTATGCATAGAGTACAGAAATTTGTTTGTTTTTTTACAAAAGGTACGTACAAGATAAAAAAGTAGATATGAAAGAGATTAATGTTCATGTAAAGATCGAATACAATGGGAAATCAGCATATCGCTGTCATGTTCAAGCAATACTTTTAACTATACAATGCAAAATTTAACATCCAATTTTTTTTTCAATCTTGTAACTTTTTTGTAGCCGTTAATACAGGCGTAGTGACCATGCTATCAGTTTGTAATTAATCACGACTGAGATAATACACGAAACTTGATTTGAATTTTATGGCAATTGCACGTCTCTTGTGCCCAAAACGAGACACATAAGCTTCGGCTAGTAATAGACTCCCTACATATTAAAGATAACTTCTTCCTCGTACAACCTTCTACAGAATGTAAAATAAATAGTATAAAATCTCATTTAAATTCAATTGTTCTCTATATAAACATCTAGTATGACACCATCACGAGTGGCTGTGATTGGAGCCGTGCGGGACGCGTGATTTTTTTTTTCTAGGCCAATCAAGAACATAGGGCTCTAGTGAGCGCGCGCGCGTCACGCGTACGGGACTCAGTTTCCGCCTCTTCATTTATCTCTTGCTCACAAGGGGGCGCCAGTGATCCGTCGAGGATCTTGAGAGCAACTGGAACTTGTCTATGCGGCTTGCGGTTGCCGTTTTCAGCCTCCCTGTCTGTATCTATACGAGTGTTTTTGTACAGGTATTCAGACTGTCAATGTTCAAAATATTCCTACGTAACCCTCGACTTATAATTTCTCCCAGCCTGAGAAGGAATATCCCCTGGTCGAAGTCTGCAGTTCAACGTTCTCACTCAATGAACAGCCATGGTTTAGTGTAGCAACGTTGCCAAGGCCTGTATATATTTATTCTCGGGTGAGATATAGTAATCCGCTAGAAGCCGCATAAATTCGAAACTCAGGCGACTGCTGTTTTTACTGCTGCGGTGTAATTTGGCAAGTGTACATCGCGTTAATAATTCAGCTAACAAGCGTAACAATAAATGAATACATTGCAATAAATAGCTGTGCAGCGGAAGTACGCCGTTTTCATTATTCGTAAATGAAATCATGACCGCGAACAGTAGTTGCTCGACTCAAATAACTAATTTCTTACACTAAAACAGTTTCGAAGCAGTAAAGAATTGTTTGCTACATATTATAAATACCACACATGGTACACCAGAGCTTTCTCTCGGGCTGCTAAAAATTTCTTTAGTGGTGTATATTTACCATAAGGCTATAAACCATAATTCACCATAAGGCTGAACGCTGGTGCATGCACCCTCTATCTCTGGGTATAATCACAAGGTGCATTGTCGTGTGAAATTTCCCCATTTGTTTGCGCATGCATAGTAGGACCTATCCTGGAAATAATATGATATTTTGTTAAAATTATGTGTTTAAAATTGCTTGCAAACACTCATCGCGGAAGCTTGTTACAATAAATATTTCGGTGTGCGTCTTTTCAATAATCGTAGAGTGCCTTGGTTTATGAAACACAAATAAAATTCAAATCAGCCAACAGGTGGAGATATGTGTGCTATCTAATACATATTTGTGGAAGTTTCTCTGTTTGTCTGTTCTCGATTCAAATCAATATGGGCCATTCTAGATATGTCCAAGGATGGCCATTAGATGTAACTTTGGATGCTGAATGTCATGGGTACATTGAATTTGGCCTCCGAGGTTATCTGATTATAGTCCCGAACCGTAAGACCAAAATTAACGACCCGGTCGTTTCGCTGTGACAGTCGCAATCTAGCTGGCAGATTTTATAAAAAGCTCCCCGAAAGGATATTGGGTGGGCAAGATAGGTTCGGTAGGGGCGTCCGAGCGCACGTGTGTGTGTGTGTGTGTGTGTGTGTGTGTGTGTGTGTGCGTGCGTGCGTGCGTGCGTGCGTGTGTGTGTGCTTACGTGCGTACGTGTGTGTGCGCGCACGTGCGTACGTGTGTGTGCGCGCGTATGTGCATATGCGTGTGTGCGTGCGCGTGTGATATTCTTGATCTATGGTACACTAGAACATTGTGTCCTATTGAACTCTCCAGCTCTCAATTTATTACTATCACTATCATATCACTGATACACTTGCAGAGATTATAGTTTGAATATGAAAGTACAACAAAAAAGATTGACGTGATAAATTTTTACAAAAAAAATTATATCAAAGTACAACCAAACAATGCATATTATCAATACATTTATAGCGTACGCTACACTCAGTCATACCACTGTTTGTACTCAGAGCTAGCATAGAACTGCCTCGTGTCTTCTATCAGAATGAAGGCCCTGTTGGGCTGGCCTACACAGTGAATCAATGCGCGGCTGTCTTGAGATCCACAAGCAAGCAACGCAGCTCTGCCTCGATGCTATCGGTATGATCAGGGTGACAGCTAGTATTAGCAACTATTAGTAAATGCTGTAGTGTAAAACTTGACTGTTTCTAGGATCGTTCTGGCGATAAACCAACTTCGCGCTAGGTTACTGTGTTCGTGCACGTTCACTTTCGCTTTCTCGAACATAGTCACACAAAATCATAATAACACTAATAATGTACTGGTAACATAGACACTAAATGGTAGCCGCATCTTTCCAAGCGTGCGTGCATGTGTGTGTGTGTGCGTGTGTGCGCGCTTGCGTGCGTGCGTGCGTGCGTGCGTGCGTGCGTGCGTGCGAATTATGAGTCTATAACGGTTTGCGTATATGTGTGCTTGCGTGCACTCATATATTTTTTAGTGTTGAAATATAACGGCATATAAGAAAAACCATATACAATGACCATGCAGGCATATGCATCCACTATTTCGTATGCGCATGCGCTGATATTAGACTGTGTCGCGTTTACACCCTTTAATTGCGGCAACGTCTAGGGCAGCTAGGCTCATAGGGTCTATGTCCATAGGGGAATGCCGGAACGTACCCTGGGTACGGTCCGGTATACCGGAACGTACCGTGGTAACTATCTGATATGGTTAGGGTTAGAGTTAGGGAGTAGGCGTAGGCGACTCCCTAGACTAGTTAGTGGACTAGGCGATGTACGGTCCGGCATATTAGATAGTACCAGGGTACGTTCCGGTATACGGGACCGTACCCCAGGGTACGTTCCGGCAGTACCCTGGGGGACATAGACCCTCTCAGCGGCAGCTATATGTATAACTTGATCAAGTTTGAGAAATCAAATCACAGGTTATTATAGAATAGTCGCATTTCGCATAAATCATATTTATTCGGTCTAGACGCGCGGCGACATGAGCTATAAGGCTCGTTATTTGTCAGATGTTTCTCCAAAATATGTTTCGTTTGGATTCACTGTTGGCTAACGTATCGTCAAACTGTACACTTGCACTCGCCTAACGCGCACACATGCGCGCAGGCGTGCACGCCCCCCCCCCACGCACACTTACACGCACACACGTACACATAAATAAATTTAGCATTTGAATTCATACAAATTCATGAGAATAGCATATTGAACCATGGATATACGACCAATTTGGTCCCACACATCAAGTATAGAAGACGAGAATTTACCTTGTAATACATGTCAACCTCTCACTGAGTAATACCAACAACGGCAAATATATAGCACGTCAACCACTACCAGAGCAACACTTATACACATAACGCAGCAAGTAAACATAGCTAAAGGATGAACGTAATAGCAGGATATTTCCGTTCTCTCAGATGCGGTTCCATTCCCCGGTAGAGGGAGCTTCCTGCTCGCAGACTCGCCGCTGCTGATGGAGGGAATTCTATGGCACTCTTTAAACTCCTCATCGGTACGACTAACGCCCGTAGCAACGGTCGTAGCCTGCGCGATTTCGCACGGAGAGGGTTGAAATAACCTTGGCCTTAGCTATGACGAGCAAATACTTCGTTGACGATTAGGTTTAAAGACATTTTTTCGATTATTTCTTGCGTGTATTTAAATATGATAAGCATGCACGACCGTAATCCTTGTCGGCTATCACGCAAGATTCCACTGATTACATCCCGCGTTACAGTTCTATACTTCAGTAATAAAGCCGAAAGTAAGGCTAACCATGAGTAACCTACGCCTTAGCTCAGACTTCACTCGTAAAACCAACGTGTCATCAAGTTCGATTAGTAGGCGTTGACATAATACTGATCGTGACAGCGGTGGCGACGACGACGACGACGATACTACTGATATAGATTACCATAGTTTGCTTCATACTGTATAGATTCCCTCAGGAAGAAGCACGGAGAAGACTTCGACATGAAGGTAGT